CCCCAAAACCCCAAAACCCCAAAACAGTGATAAAATATATTTTTTAAAAATACCAATTTCTTTTTCCAAAATAATCTAATCATTTATCAATTTATTAACTTTGATTAACAGCTTCAATTTTATCTATTGAGTAACTTTTCTGAGGCTTGTATAATCCCCTGTATGATTCTTTGTAATGAGTATCATCACTAAATCCTGGTAATTACTGAACAAAGCTATCATCATACTCATTTAGAATAGATGACTTTCTTCTAAATAAGAATGGTTTTTAATCCATTTAATTTTTCCTTTTGATCATGTTTTGGCTTAAATTCGCTGAGCTTTACGACTACTGACTTGGCTTTCTTTGATGGAATCGGGATTGCTATTTAGTATCAGTATTAAAGATATTTTAATGCTGTCCATTATACATTATTTTTTTGTTCATTGTTTATCTGATGACCGAGTTCTTGCGGGATATGTACATTGAAGCTGTTGGTGAAGTATACTATGTTTCGAGAGCTTTCTTGAATTACTAATTTTGCTATGATTTTTTACCAGTTTTAAAATCTAAATGTATCAAACCTTTTAGATTATTACTTGAGAATTACTAATAATTATTACTTCTTTTGCTTTCAGGATTCTAGATGTTGATCGGCATTTTACTTACTCTTTAATTATACTTTTATCTGAGTTCACGAACTTTAGCCATTAGTTTGTCATCCAGTTGGAACTTATTATCAGAGATCTCGCTGTATGATACTATACTAGCTGTTAATTTTTAAAGTCCTAGACCCTTTGCTAGTCTTTTTGATGTAAAAAATACGGGCGTTTGATTGAAGTTATTTAGGGCTTTTAGATCAGCTCTAAAATTTATCAGTAAATTTATTATCTACTAGCTCTAGCCTATAATCAATGCTTAGTGCAATGGGGTATTGCCAAATTCATTCTTGCAATTCACATCAGCTCCTAATCTTAGCAGAGTCTCAACAGTTTCATAGTGAGAAGCTGAGACTGCATAAAATAATGGTGTGTTGCCTAATGTGTCCCTCACATTAAGATCCTCGTCTTTATATCGATGACTATTTTTCTCCAAATACGTGAAATTATTTTTTTTAGAAGCAGCTAATGTGTTCTATTGTAATATTGAAAGCTTTGATTTTTTTATTGGTGCCTTTTATTCTTATAGAGAGGGTATGAACTACTGACTTTAACAGTTAGTGTCATTTATTTTCTCATAAACTCAGCTAAGGGAATTTCTATCTTTAGATCCAGATTAGCAAAAAATTAATGTTTCATCAACCTCAGGGTTAAAGCCGTAGTCCGAAAATTCATATCAAAGTTTGCTTTGTCATATTGGATTTATTGATTGATGATGAAACTACTGCATCCTTGATGTAGAATGAGTATTACCTCTTTTCATGTTGAATATGTTTTCAGAATTTGATCGCTTCATTAATATTAAATTATATTTGGCTTACAACTATAAAACATGAATTAGTCATTCATGGGGTTTTGGGGTTTTGGGGTTTTGGGG